TTAATTAAATGAATAATTTTTATTAATACGGAGGAGATGGATTGTTTAAGTTTAGAGTTTGGAGTTAGAGATATTAATATTTGTTTACTTGTATTTGAATATTAGCCTAGGTTTGGTTTGGGAAGTCCGGGGGGTGGGGGGATGGGATATAACATTGTGTAATATCTGTGATGTATTTTTTTTTCTTTTATGATGAAAATAATAAAATTTTATATTGAAAAAAAAAAGGATTGGATGGGAGACTACCAGGAGATCTTAGGGCTGTAAGCTCAGCGTGCTAGGTGATGGTGGGGAAAAAAATTCCCTTGTACTCTAAATACGGTGAATAATTACAAGCAAATGTAGAAGAGCTCGCAGGCCTTAATTGGTACCAAAATAAATAAATATCCCAAATAAAATCCTGTATTATTCTCCTCCTGTCCAGTCAGACATTTGGCAAGCGTTGATTCTGCTCGTTAATGGCAACTTCAGGATTAGCTAAGCGTAGAAATAAAAAACAAAATTTCTGAACAATCTAATAGGGTTAAGAACTTGAATACAGCCAAGTCCTCAACTTAACAACACTTGAGTTTAGTGACCGTTTCAAGTTACAACGGCACTGGAAAAAAAGTGACTTTTATGACCATTTTTCACACTTATACGACCGTTGCAGCATCCGCTGGTCACGTGATCAAAATTCAGACGCTTGGCAACTGACGTGTACTTACGACGGTCGCAGTGTCCCCGGGTCATGTGATCCCCTTTCTGATAAAGTCAAGTGGGAAGCCGGATTCGGTTCACCGCCGTGCTACTGATTTAACAACGGCAGCGATTCATTTAACAACCGTGGCAAGGGAGGTCGTAAAATGGGGCAAAATTCAACCGCCTTGCTTCGCAGCAGAAATTTTGGGATGAACCGTCGTCGTAAGTAGAGGACTAGCTGTATCTGTTTTCAGGCCATAAGACATTTTTGAAATGCAGCCGATCCCTTCAAGATCACTTTGTGATCGTTTGCAATGCCTTCTCCTTATCTTTTCCTTTCCTCTCCTGCAGATCAAGATGTGCTGGAATATATGTTGATTGACAGCGGCGTTTACCCACTGCAGTCAATAGTGAGTAGATACCGAATTCATTTCCCAAATATTAGACTCGTTTCCATCACGGCAAGATTCGAGCAAATCTTAGTGAAGATGTACTGGGGAGGGGGGCTTAAAGAAATACACGATTTTAAAAATATATGCTTATTAGAAAATTATTAGAAAATAAGAATACTATTATTGCATTATTAACTTGTTGATGTAGATGGTGAGAACTTATATAGAATAAGATGCGGATCCTGAATACTAGACCTTGGGAGGAATGGTGATAAAGGAATTGGGGTCATCTAAAGCGTGGAAATGACAATTATTGAACGATAGTGATGATTTTTTTTTGGGTCTTGATGTGCGACTGTGGTCCTCTTGCAGTCAGATGACCTGACCAGCTTAGTGGTGGTGGTGCTCTACGACCTTCAGGACCGGAAGTTTGAAGCTCGCTCGGTTCCCGAGGACGAAGAAAGCATAGCAGAAGTTCAAGAAGTGGAGCGTTATCTATGCAGGTAGACCTCCTAAAAGCACGCGGCTTCTCTGTGGAGGGCCGATAGTGAAAACTTAATTTTGTTTCCCATTGGGCACACAAAAAAAGGAGAGGCCTGGAATCCTATTATTCTTCAATCTGACCCTTTTTTTAGATGCGTCGTGCAGGGGACACAACTGATGGAGCAGTTTTATAAGGAAAATGTAAAGGCTTGCTCTGTGTCCATTGCCCAGCTAGGTAACTCTTCAGTGCTAGAAGAGAGTGGAGTTTGAGGTTGTTTTATTGTTGTTGTTGTTGTTGTTGTTGTTTTGTTGTTGTTGTTGTTGTTGTTGTTCTTCTTCTTCTTCT